GAAATAAAATTCTTTTGTTTTTTTATTAAATAAAGTATATTTGCATATTTTATGTTTTAAACACATTAAATCACAGAATTAACACTAAACTGTAGAGTTACACAACAACTAACTTTATAACAGAATATCTTTTTTTTGAGAAAAGGCTCTTTTCGTATGTACGTACATATATACTGAATTCAGTACAATAACTCAGTTGCATTTTTGATATGTAAAAAGGATGCTTGTACATGTTGAATTTATGTAATGTCACCTACTAGGATATTTGTATAAAAAAAGTCATGCTGTAATTGGTCTAATGCTTGTGCTGAATTTAGTATAATAATTCACAACATGACTGTTGAGAGAAAAATTATAGTCTAATAAATATTTATTTTTTGTTCTCTCCCTTTTTACCTTCATTTGTATTTTTTATTAAGGCGACATTGTTATTATTTAATTCCATCATTAATCATTATCTTCTTTCACTATGACTTTAATTAAGCTCCATCATCACTAAACTAAAAATAACTTCTAAAAATACTGATTCTGCAGTCTGTGTTGAGGAGCGCCATCATCTTAAAAGTATGAATAATAAAGAATATTACAAAAAATATAAGTATAAATATCATGAAAAGTAATTAAAAAAGGCTTCAGAGGATCAATATATACGAAAACGTGTTAAGCAACTTGAAACTTATTGCAAAGAAAAGGGATTATCACCACCTCTACTTTCAGATTCTGAGCATTTGCACAGTTCTTCTGATTTTCATATATATACACCTGGAGCTTTTTCTAATCTTCCAAGTATCGATTCTTCAGGTATCTCTCGGGACCAGTATGTTTTCTCTTTCTTTTTTCCTTTTATTTTCTTTTATTCATTTAAAAATTCTTTTTGTTTTTAGGGAAGTCTTTATAAACTCAGTCAATCTTCAGAGTTTTCTTGTCGTAGAATCTCAAATTTCTGAGAGTCTTTATAATTTTAAGTTTTCTATGCAACCCTCTACTTTCAATACTTTGAATGAGTTACCACAAAGTCATTTTATTTCTTCTGCTAGTATTCCTAATACTTGGTTTAAGTTACTATTAAGTATTTATTCTGATTATTTATCAAATCTAAGTCCTATTTATCCTATTTCTTCTGATTATTCAAGTCCAAGTACTATTTCTTCTGATTATTTATCTTTCTCTTCCGATGTCATTTTTTATTCCCTTTCTCTAGTTATCTAAATTTTCTTCTATGCAATATGCACTTTATTATGGCAAATTTCAAGATTCATTAAACTATTATATTCCTGTTTCTGATATTAAGTTCATTTTTCTTACTTTGGTTAGTAATTAAAGATAGAAAATTCAATGCCTGATTCACTCACAACTAATCTTATGTGGTATTTTATTAATTGTTCTAAGTTTAGCCATATGCCCTATATTTTATTCTTTAAAATAAAACCCACATATCGTGATTTATAACTTTTTAGAATTTCTCAACGTTATATAGATTTTAGAGATCATTCTTGCTAGTTTTGATCTAATATTTGTTTTACAACATTTGTCATTTAAACTAACACAACGAGTCACATAGTAGTTTTAGAAATTTGACCTGAGTACTCTATTATTAAATTTGCTGGTTATCGGGTTTATTACTATACTTTTTTACGAACTATATTAATTGTAGAATTAGGTTTAATTGCTAATTCTGGTAAAATTAATTCTTTATGTTTTGGCCTGAATCTCAAAATTTTACGCATGAACGAATTGTTAAGTAGAATGTAGAAAACATTGTATCAGTATTATCAGTATCATTTAGCAACCATTTGATTGACTCAGATCATGCTGCTTCGTAGCATGACTGAGTCAACAAATGACCGCTAAATGATACTGACCCAATATTACCTACATCCTACCTGATAACTTATAAATATTTTTCGATTTTTATTGTTTTCATCATTTTTAATCATGTCATTTTCTAATCCTTAACATTTTTTCAAAAAATTAAAAATGAAGGCAATAATAATTTTAAAAGTCAAGTCTGAAATAAAATAGGAAAACGCTGTTTTGGAGGTTTTGGTTGCGATCAAGATATTCTTATAGCTCGAAAATTACTTAAAGAAGCTTCAGGTCTTGGTTTTCGGCCTGCAACTGTTTGGATTAATTCTCATTGGTCAAAAATGATTTTGGTGCAAGTGAAGTTATTAAAAATAACATGATATAACCAAGACTACCCAAAAAATTTTGATTAATTTATGTAATTCGATTACACAAATCTATTTTTTTTATGATTATATTAGATTTTTTTATAACCAATAAAATATGTTTTGTAATTAATTGGCGAATTTGTGAGAAAATATAAATTAAAGCAATAAACCATGTTCAAAAAAGATTAAACCACCTTAATAATACCAACAAATATATTTTTAATTAATGTTTTCATCTAGCAATCAATAATTTTACCTTCTGCTTCTTTAATTTTTTAATCTTTATTATAATAATTTAAGTGCTATTAACAATTGTTCTGTTTTTTTTTTCAATTAATAAAAAGTCTATTGCAAATAAAAAAAAAAAGTAATGTTCTAAGCATTGGCAAAGAGGAATATTAATCGTAACAATGATATATTCGAGATAACAAGTATTAT